ATTTCACCATCAATGACATTAATTAAATTATAAAAATGACAGTTTTGTTTGGTAACAGGAAGAATTTAAGTTTCAGACTTTAACCTACAAGGCCGATAAGTCAAGTTAAAGATCTCTACGTCTCGCTTTTCATTTTAAGTCGCCAACTAACAACCAAGAACATTGAGATATTGTCAATACCACCAATAGTTTTTCAACTTTCATAAAAAATCCCCCCACCACCAAACCCTCCCAAAAGGAAAAAAGCAAAGAAGAAAAAAAACACTTTTTTGATTATCAGCTTAAAGGTTTAAACATTAAATAAAACAGTCATTTGTGTTACAAGAACCAAACTCAAATTTTTAGAAAAAATTTACGGGACTGGGGTTTAGTTAATTGATTTTTTTTTTTTTTTGACAAATTCTTCTTAAGGAATAGACACTCAATAGTTTTGTGGACAAATTTAATTGCTCAAGTTACACTGCTGTAACATAACACCTATTTAATGGGCAGGATGGCCGCGCGTGGAAAGCAACCACAAAGATTTGTTAGTAATATTTTACTCCCCTCACAAGACTGGAAATTCTTTCATTAGTCCGCGCAGTCTCACCACCAAGTCCCAACAAAACTCAGAGGCCACCAGTATCATTTTCCACCAGTCGTCAGTGCAGAAAAGAGAAAAAAAAAAAAAGAGAGTCGTCAGTGCAGTAAAGAAGTCGGCACTAGGAATTTCTCAGATCATATCCACTCTTAAACGCGTTGGAAAGTTAAATCACCGATATCCATAAATTCCGTGACCAGCGGTGCAATTAACGCAACCAACATCGATCACCTTCCCACTTCTTCCCTTTACTTTACTTTGACACACAGAACAGCATCTGCAGGCAGCTAAATGGGAAAGTAGCACAAGCAGCCATTCCTTTAATGGAGACTAATAAACCATTGAAAAGCAAAAAATGGGCTCTTCCTCTCATGTTCTCAATTTCAATCTCATGTTGTCTTACCATTGTTTCTGTTTTTAGTGCCAACCCTTTTGAGCAAAGATCCAAGAACATCAAAGATGAAGTTCCAGTCTTTGTCGAATCAAAGTTGCATGTAGCTCCGACTCAGCCCTTTCCAAGAATTCCAAGACTGGCTTATTTGATCTCTGGTTCTAGCGGTGATGGTGAGAGCTTGAAGAGGACGCTCATGGCCCTTTATCACCCGTTGAATCAGTATGCGGTGCATTTGGACCTCGAGGCTTCCGTTGAGGAGAGACTGGAGCTGGTGAATTTTGTAAAGAATGAATCTTTATTTGAGGAAGCTGGGAATGTGAGGGTCATTGTGAGATCCAATTTAGTGACTTATAGAGGGCCTACTATGGTTGCTAATACCCTTCATGCTGCTGCTATTTTGTTGAAAGAAGGCGGAGATTGGGACTGGTTTATCAATTTGAGTGCTTCAGATTATCCTCTGCTCACCCAAGATGGTATGAAATACTCGTTGCTATTATATACGAGCATTGCTTTTACTAACCTGTGAATTCTTTTCCCCAATAAATTGTGGGTTGGCACTTGTTTCTGCGGTATGTGCTCTGGCTTAATTCTTGAGTAACCAGTTGATACTTGATAGGACATGCTATTTCTGTCTCATGATCATAGGTTCTTTTTCGGATCATATCAGTCTCCTGGGGTTTCTTATTTATTTATTTATTTTCAAGGTTGAAGCAGTGGATGCAATTAGTAGTTGCTCTATTTCTTCAAATGGATGTGTGAATGTTTACCCTGCAGTTGGAACTTCATTTTCTTTACTGTCTCTTGATGTTCTGCTTGGTGTTTCAATGCATTCTAAACTATTACCTCGTTGTCACGAATTTTTAATTTTATTCTCCTTTGTTCTATATCTGTAACATTAGTCCATGCTGCTTAAGGTGGTTAATTTTTAGTGCATAACAAGATTCAGTTTTTGCTAATAGGATGCTGTTACAACTGAAATGTCTAAACTGAATTTAAGCCGTTATTTATTCTCATTCTTAGAATTAACTACAAATGAAAGTATGGAATGCATGCTGACGCAGTTTGCTTTGTGTTTTTGCCATCACCTATGCGAACAGATATCCTTCACACTTTATCTACTGTTCCTAGAGAACTTAATTTTATTGAGCACACAAGCGACATTGGTTGGAAGGAGTAAGTATTCACATTCTCTCTTGATCTGTACAAGAAGAGCTTAATAGTTTTACATATTTCAGATAAAAGCTATTCATAGTGTAGCATGTTAGGCTATATTTTTCCCCTTCAAATACTGCAGCTTTTGATCTTCTAGGTATCAAAGGGCGAAGCCTGTTATAATTGATCCGGGACTCTATAGCCTGAAAAAATCAGATGTCTTTTGGGTCACACAGAAAAGGAGCGTGCCTACAGCATTCAAACTCTTTACTGGTAAACATCTTCATAATATTTTTGCATATGTTATTGTTGTTCTTCCCTGTGATTTTGAGCTCACACCAAGTAACGGATGTAAACATTAACAACATTCGAACATTAATAACATCCTGCTTGAAGTAAATGTAAATGATTTCTTCTGAAAAAAGGATTCACTTGGTCCAAAGATCACTTGAGTTCAAACAAGTCTACGTTTTGATGACTCTCTGATTTTCTGACTAAGTTAATCATTCATTCTGATTTCGGCGGGGATGCTCCGGTTGTTGCACCCTTTCCATCCTGTTTCATTTCTCTTATGAGGTCCTTGAAAAAAAGAAACTGCCATATGTTTTCTGAATCTTGAAAGGTAAAGGTGATTATCACACAAGGAGATGACCGAATGTGCAAGTGTTGGTTGTCCAAATAGTTGGCAAGGCATGGAAATCTTGGTAGAAGTGACAATGTTGCGCTACCTACAAGCTTCTCTATCAAACCCAGTGTTGAGTAATGGTCAAACAGAATGCATATCCATGAAGCAGGAATATTTGTTTGTCGATGATATAGTTAAAGTCAGTTGCTCAGATAGATTTAGATGTCAATCTGAGTTTTGAGTAATATAAATTTCTTTACCTGAATGCTTAGTTGGGAAGATCAGTCAAATTTAATATGTTCCTTGTACATCTTTTCTTTTCTTTTTTTTTCATGACATTATCACTGCCAGAATGTGTGTAGTTTCCTAGCTGTTCATGCATTAGTAACGTTTTATTTCCAGTGGAGCATTAATTTGAGCATACAATTTTAGAACATTACCGCAGTTACCATTAGCATCTTTAAGAACTGCTTTTTTTGAGGAATCTAACATATTATGGGTGTTTTATTTTCTCGGTTTTGGGTAATCTCCAATAATTTGACCTAATGTGCAATTAATTTCTTTGACAGATAATTTAGGAAATAGCTAGTCATAAAGAGCTAGATTGTTTTTGGTACTCTCCAGCAAGTGGAAGTTTGAAATTGTACAGGCATTTCTGACGTTTTTGATACCCTAAATGGTAGCTCCCATCTGGGGTACAGGAGCAAGTTTTGTCGTTATTCATAACCTGATGATTATTCGATTTTCTATATATACTTTTAATATGCCAATATTGATAACCTTCCTGGCTTTTAACATGGTTTTTGCAATCAGGTTCTGCTTGGATGATGCTGTCTCGCCCTTTCATTGAGTACTGCATTTGGGGTTGGGATAACCTACCTCGGATAGTCTTAATGTACTATGCCAACTTTCTTTCTTCACCAGAGGGATATTTTCACACAGTGATCTGTAATGCAAAAGAGTTTCGAAATACCACAGTGAATCATGACCTCCATTTCATATCCTGGGACAACCCTCCAAAGCAGCACCCTCATTTCCTCACAGACAATGATTACCAGAGAATGGTAGACAGCAATGCTCCTTTTGCCCGAAAATTTGGCAGAGATGTAGCTGTTCTTGGAAGGATTGATTCTGAGCTTTTGGGCCGTAAAGCAGATGGCTTCGTCCCAGGCAGTTGGTTTGATGGTGGGACAAATAGAACTGATCTTCGGTATATTATTAGAAATATAACTACCCTTAGGCCTGGGCCTGGTGCAGAAAGATTCAAAAATCTGATAAACAGTTTGTTAGCTGATAAAGATTTTGATGTGAAGCATTGCATCTAGCCCCAGAACCAAGCAAATCTTTGGAGAGTGCATCGCCATTGAAGTAATTCAACGGCTGATAAAATTTCCTTGTTCTTCAAATAATGGGGTACAGCTTTTGAGACTGCTCAGAAGGTTATAGGAATTGACATAGGTAGAGAGTCATACAGTTTGGGATGGTAAGCATCCTTCCCTTATCTTTCAACATATTAATTTGTAGGTCAAAGATATAAACAGCTGCTTCTTTGTCTTGATTGGTTAACAAATGGGAGTACTGTAATGTTCTTACGGATGGAATAACTCATGATCCTGAGTCCACTAGGACGCCAGAGCTTTGGACTTACTCAGAGACTTCCTGAACGGGTGGAGAAGAACACAGAATGTGTGAAGATACTGTTCGGAGAGCATGGATGGCTGGTGCAAGGTCTGGTCTACTGAAAGATTCTTATTCTTGATAGTTCATAAAGTGCCTGAACGCTTTGAAAATGTTCTGCAGATTGGTTCCGATTGGCGACTGGGTCCCCAAAAGTTAAAAGAGTTCTTTAACCAGGCGTCCACCTCACCCTTTAGTTCTGTCATGTTGAATGAAGAACTTCGTTTAATACCAAAAGCAAATCTTGAATAGACATAAAATTTGTATCTTGAATAGGCAATAAAAGCCCCTATAGGTACTATGACACTTCCATTAAGGGTTACCACCAAATGAAGGTTCAATGTGGTGCCTTCTCAACTGGGAACTTAATACCATGGGCCAGAATGATTAGAAAAACAAATGCTAAGAGGATGCTTAGTCATGGACCGGCATCTCCCTCTATTTTTTTGGGGAAAAAAAAAATCCACTCACTCTTAAACGTACTCGTCTAAAATCGAGATTTGACTCAACGGATGAGCATTCTCTTTGGATTTATAATCCCATCTACAGATAATAATAAAGAGAACGAAAAACAACAATAAGTTAAATGTATCATTGAAATTTTCCTCCAATATTGCTTCATTCTTACTATACATGGTCTTAAAATGTCAAACCTGTATATAATTCAGTTAGCAAGATGCATTACATTGAACAAAGAATCAAGCGTCTGGCACACTTCTGGTGCTTTGGGATGCACGAAGGCACCAGCACGGAACTCTTCAAGCAAACCATTGACCTCTATAGCACTACAACCTGGCTTCTTCTTCATTCCTGTGTCCTCCATCAGTCTCCAAACTCTTCTTGCTTCCATGTCACTGCCGGCTTGCCTGTAAATGTTATATGAAAGGACGTGAGTCCCATAATCTGTTACTCCCATGTTAGCTAGTTTTCTCCATATTCTATCCCCCATTGCTGTATTGCCATAAATTCTACAAGCACCAAGTAAAGCACCCCAGATATTAGCATCACCTTGGCTAATTCCTCCAATTTTGTCTTCAATGAATTCCTCAGCCTCTTCCAACCTACCGGCTCTAGCCAAAAGGTCAACCACACATGCATAATGCTCAAGCCTTGGTTCAACCTTATAAACACTACTCATTTGTTCAAATAACCAGAGGCCTTTGTCAACCATACTTGCATGTGTACAAGCACTGATGACAGCAACAAACGTGGCCTCAGAAGGTTGAGTCCCACCGAGCACCATTTGATCAAATAATTCAAGTGATCTAGTAGCGTAACCATTCATTGCAAAACCAGAAATTATAGCATTCCATGCTCCACTGTCTTTGTTGACAATTCCGTAAAATACAGAAGAAGCCAGTTCCACCAAACCGCATTTTGAGTACATATCAACCAAAGCAGTAGCTAATATTTGGTTATCCTCGTATCCACAGCTTCTGGCATATGAGTGTACCCACAAGCCTTGTGATAAAGCACCAAGTTGAGCACAAGCAGTAAGGACAGTCACGAGCACCGACTCATTAGGCTTCACAGCAGCTTCCTCCATACGCCCGTATAAATCAAGCACTTCCTTAAAATCACCGGACCGTGAATACCCTGCCATTAGTGCGCTCCAGGAAATCACATTTCTCTCGGACATTTCTTCAAACAGAGCCCTTGCTTCTTCCACCTGACCCACTTTTCCATACCCATCAATCATCGTAGTCCACAGAACCACATCCCTCCGGGGAATTTCATCGAACAGCATCCGCGCTTTATCCATCTCAAGACTCGACGAATAAAATTCAATCAACGAGCTACTTATAAATGGGTCATAAACAAGACATAATTTCAGCACATGGCAATGTACCAATAAACCCGCAAGATTAAACTCCTGCGAAACCAAGGAACACGCCTTAAATAAAGGCGTGAACGTGTAATTGTTCGGAATAAGCCCGTCTTTTAGCATGCTTTTATAGCACGAAATGGCGGGTTTCGCCAGATGTGATTGAACATATCCTCTGATCATGGTATTGTACAAGAAGGTGGTCTTGTACTGAAGATTTTGGAAAATAGTGCGAGCGTAGGAAAAGAAAGCGGGATTCTTGGAGGTGGCGGCGAAGGAGAGAAGCGGGGCAATGCTTGATGGGTTCTCGGCGAGGTAGAGTTTGAGGAAGTGGGCATGGACTTGTTTGAGCTGGTTGACAGATTTGCATTTTTCAGTAAGAAATCCTAGAATGGCGTTTGTGTGGGTAGTCTTACTAACTGAATTATGAATCATCGGAAGTTGAAGAAGAAGGATTGGCGGGTAACTTCATTTGGGTCCCCCGCACTTTTTGAGTTAAGCAAGTCGAGAGGAATGGAATTAGGGAAGATCTAAAATTGGTAATCCATCTGACTCCAATTCGGCTTACTCTCTGGAGAGAGCTCAAAACCTTTTCAGCATTTTGTTCAAGTCACCTCCGATGGTCACTGGGTCTTTGTAGTTGTTAGGGACAGTAAAACTGAACTGTAACTGCATTTTCTGCTGGCCATTAAATCTAAGAAGACGACTATGAAAATCTGGACTGTTTATAATTATGCCCCTTCGACTGCTAGCAATTTACTATGATGCTTAGGACTTCATGGAAATATGCAACAGGGGCTACCACTGGGAGTGGGACAACCTTGCACTGTCCGATGAGGGTTTCAATTCTACTGTTAAAATGCCGCTCTGTTCCTGTCCCGATGAGGGTGCTCAATAAGAATGTGACGATGATGATGATTCATACTGTCTAACAGATGCTCTAGTGAAATGATTACAGAGCATCTGAAAATTGAACCATTCTTTTCCCAACATTATCGCCACGAAAAAGTCCTGCAAATGCAGATGGTATGCTTTCCACACCATGTGAAATGTCTTCAAGAACATGCATTTTCCCAGTTTGGAGGGACTCGAGTGTGGCTGAAAGGAAATCCTGATAGATATTGAGGTGATCACCAACTAAAAATCCTTGAGTCTTAATCCTTTTGTACACAACATCTACCATGTTCAGAGCAACAAGTCGAATCGTTTATCCGTATATTCAGCTATAACACCACACGCAGCGATCTACCAAAGGCATTCATGTTATCCACTGCTGCTTCTAGCATCCCTGCTCCCACGTTATCAAAATAAATGTCAATCCCATCTGGAAAGTACCTGCAGTAATACTGTAATAAAATTGAGACGGATTCGCAAGTATCATAATTTAAAATCTTTGTTTGGAAAATCCCGACTCCAATTTACAAAATATCAGGTGAGATTTTGGTAAAATTCTGAAAGCACTCAAAACTTCTCACATTCAGAAATGGAGATGAATTACCTCTTAAGATCAGTTTTTTCGTTGTAGTTGAAAGCCTCGTCAAAACCAAGCTTATTCTTGAGCAAATCTACCTGCTATCCACTCAAGGTAACAGGCATGCGTTATATCCATAAAGAATAGTACAGAAACGAATAGGGATATTACCAACAATAGAGCAGAAGAGGGCAAGAAGAGATGCTAGACCTTTTCTGAGCTTCCAGCACTGCCTACAACATAGCAACCGATGAGCTTCGCATACCGTCCCACTAAATTTCCTATCGATCCTGAAGCAGCAGAGACAAATACCTTTTCCCCTTTCTTTGGCTTACACAACTCGAAAAATCCAGCATAAGCAGTAAGGCCACCGAATCCTGATTTACAAACATGGATTAACAAATGCTCAAAAGTTTTCATGAATCCTGGTTTTAGCCTGATACTACAAGTTCTGTCCTCTAGAATGAAGAAACGCTGACAATGTACCTAGAATTCCTACATTGTAAGAAATCGGAAATCCCATTGTATCCACCTTCCTTAACATGGCACCACCCTCTTCTATTATGCTGTACTCTCCCCAGCACAGGAACCCAGAAACCAAGTCATCCTTCTCATGGTCAGGGTTCCCAGAAAGAACAACTCTCCCAACACCATAACCATCAATGCACTATGGACTCAAAAACAAATTCTACGAGAATTAGTACTGCTATTAGATGAAAATGCAATCATATCTTCACGGAGATGCCATTAATCAATACAACTAAGAATGCAACTTACCTTGCCAGGGATAACATCGCCCGCAAAATTTATGGCTCGCTCAGAGGGAGATTGGTTCTTCATGAGGTTGAATTGGTACGGATCAATTGATAATTAAAGATTTTTCACGATAACATCCGTTTTTTCCTGGCTTCGTTGATAAAGAAAAAGCTTCAGACTTGAGCTCAAAATCAGACTCTTGTGGTTCTCCATCAATGTTATGTTTAATGACTGTACCTATTTGTTACTTCCATTGAAAATTATGGGCCTAGAAACTTCACAATTTAAGCTAGTGAAGAAGAATAATACTTGGAATGTGTATTTACTTGGAATCTCCAACCTTTTAGCAGGTGTATTTACTTGGAATCTCTTTGTTCGTATGATGGGCGCGACCGTCTTCTGCGGCGGGGGTCGGAAGAGGACTCAGCTCAGCACAAAATTTGGTCCTTGTTTGTGTTTTTCTTCTTCCTTACCTGTCTTTCTCAGGTTCCCTCCATTCGCCCAAGAATTAAGTGGATCATTACATAATTTACATTGAAATCTTCTGAAAAGGTGGATTGCAGTCCCAAATTCTCAGCATATGATACTCTAGCAAAATGATAATTATATTATCGCCTCTAAAAAGGACCTGAAAAAGCAAATGGTATGCTATATTACATTCTATTTGTAAATTTGTAATTAAATTAACAGGATGAGTAACTTTATTTAAGCCAAGCTTGAGTAATTACTACCCAAGCTCCGTAAAAACAAATAAAATTATGAGCTTGATTAATTGTTTACATTCTTAATTTTTGGGCCGGCGTGCTTGAGCTGTTTTTCATTTTGTGCAAGTACATACGGAACAAAAGCCTTTTGTACTGGATGTGTTGCGTGATTGAGTGGGCTAGATGCCCTCTTTTATTAGGCCTTGTGTTTAAAATTCCAGCGTATTCCAGACGCAATGACTGTTTGGGCTCAAACTTCTTGCTTGTGGATCCATAACTTTTAGTTCCGTGGTTTCCAAATTGAAGGCCCAGTAAGTAAAAGCGTACCAACCACGCGTAAGTAATGTCATAAAACGGACAGTTAAGGCAAACCGACTCCAGAACGCCACGGAACCAGCGGACGCCTTCTCTTTTAGGGCTTTTCCCGCCCAATCTCTCTCTTCTTTTTTCTCTCTCCTCGAGAATTTGCACATTTTTTGTCTGCTTCGCTCTCAATTTTCAACTATTTCCTTAGTCACTCTTATTTCTCTTTTTCTTCACATTCTTCCGAGAGATCAATTGGAGTTCACTGCTAATTGAAGAATTACAGTTCAACAATGGTGTCGCCGAAGCAGCTTTTATCGACAGTGGAAGAGTCGCTGCTTGGCCCAAACCCTCCGACGCCGGCGCAGAGAGTAGAACTCATCCATGCCATTCGCCAATCTCTTCCCTCTCTCCGCAACTTGCTTTCTTATCCTGTCAGTCCATTACTAATCACAAGAACCTCACAAGAAAACCTTTCAGTTAGCATATTCAGTTCTACTTTTTGTGAACTTTTTTTTTTAATTTTCCTTTTTCTTTGGTGCATTTTTTGACGCTTAGCCTCCAAAACCATCGGACCGAGCTCAGGTGCATTCTAAGGAAGTCAGGCTGCCAAATTCTGGATCAATTACGCTGGATGATGAAGATGTCCAGATTGTTAGTTCCTCTTTCAACAACTTAATTTCGAGCTAATTACTGCTAATATTGGTTTCTTTTTTTATGTTTCTTGCGCAAGGTCGTTTTATTAGAACTTGAAATAGACGACAGTTACAAATTGGCTGTCGTGAAGTTCTGATGTTCTGATTTAGCTTCCATGGTTCTACCCTACAATGTTCCAAGGTTTATTATTGCCCAGTGATACATGCCTAATCAGTATTACTTTTTGTACGAGACATCATATGTGGTGATTCGAAAAGGTTACGGCTTGGCACATGCTCATCTGTTGTAGGTTCTTGTTTCAACTTTACTGCATTTCTTGTTAATATTGAGTTGAGAACTGTAAGCAATCCTTTGTGAACATGTTTCCATGTATTTTAAGCTTTCTCTCTGTGAAATTAGGAGTGCAGGGGTTTTCCAACCTCAAGTCTTTCGGTCTAGACACTTTGAATGAGTAATTTCTGGAAGTTTCACACTGCTATTCTTTAGGTATTTTTGCCTTTTGTTGCTCTTTATCCTCCAATTCATACATAACGCTTATTGTTTCTCTACTGATCACTTCCCTGCAAGACCTGATTTAACTCAGTTTCCTTATCTTTTGTGTAGCTTATCTATTCCCATCTAGACAAACAATTTGGCCCCTCACTTAATCTTCTTCCAAATATTTCTGTGGTTGGGCACTTCCTGAAGATATAGTATGTTGTCAGGTTTTATATGCTTGTAAATAATATCCCCTGAGCTTTATGGAGATCTTTGTTTCTTCTGATCCTCCAAAAGTGACGCCTTTTCTCTGTCTGGGTTCCTGTTACATGTCCTCTGAAACCACCATACAGTTGGTTGTTACCAATTACCTGGCCCTATATTTGAGAGTATTAGCTCAGTGCTGATTGCGAATTTTCTGTCTTTAAGGGAAGTTGAAGGAAAAGATATCAGTTTCTTGACATCAGTAATTGCTTCTGTGACAAATGAAAAAGCACTTTGCAGATGTCATTGATGAAATTTGGCTGCTTTTGGTTGTTTTTTCGGCCAAAGGGTTACTATTTGGTTATCTAATTCTTTGGTGGATTTTCTACAGTTTGTCTTCATGCATGTCTTTGGTTATTCTTATTGGTCGACTTCTTGCAACTTAAGGATTGGTGTTATAGGTCTTGCTCTTTTTCTCCAAAAAAAAAAAAAATTAATAATAATTTTTATGTACTTGCTGCTCTATTTTTCTTGTCTTCAATGTTCTGCTTCAGCCTTTTGGTTAATATTGCCCACTTGCTGAAATTTCAGGCGCTTAAACTCAGTGATGATCACCATCTTAATGAAATTGACTGTGTTCGCTTGCTTGTTGCTGCCAATCAAGAGGTGGAACTTCTCTTATTTTGTTTCTATGATATATCTACGTATTTGATACTTTGAGTTGAGATGTTATTAAGCTGATATACTACCGCTATATATTTTAATTGACACTGGTGTACAATAACCAGGATGAAGTTTTCCTGTCCATTTTTTTTCTCTGTGACTTGAGTAAAGATGTGAGATGTTGAGTTCTCAAATTTGGCTGACGGGTGTTTTCTTTTCACTATTAGTGGAGCTTATTAGGGAGAGATCCTTTAGAAATTTTGCGCCTTGCAGCAGGACTCTGGTATACAGAGAGAAGGGATCTAATAACAGCTCTTTACACTTTACTACGGGTATTGTAAACCTTTTGCTTTACTAGATAAACAGTATTCTTACTGTTATTTGTTTTTAGATTCAAAAGTTGTAAAGCATCATTTTGCTAGTCACGTGCAGGCTGTTGTCCTTGACCAAGGGCTTGAAGCTGATCTTTTGGCTGACATCCAGAGATACTTGGAAGATCTATTTAATTCTGGAGTTAGACAGCGATTTATTTCATTAATAAAGGTAAGTATTGAAAAGCTGTCAATCTCTTTACGGACCAACAGTTTTGTAGCTCTCTCATTGCCCAGGGATTGACTAAGAAGAGAATATAATATCTATTTATGTTAACAATTGTCAAGTTGCTTAAATAATGCCAAATTATGTGGTTCTGATGACAACTTAGCTTTTCATGAGCATGATAAGTTTTAGTAACTAGTGGCCAGCGTTACTTCCTGTCTTGGTGGGATTTAAACAATTTTGTTGACTGGTTTGGTTAATCGTGTCGTATATTCTCTGGATCAACTGGATTTCTTGAGTTTATTTTATAAAAGGTTTCTTTTATCAGTATTGTAGTGTTGTCCATGTGCTTCATAGCTGCATTTTTCTTTGTCACAGGAACTCAATCGAGAAGAACCTGCGGGGTTGGGTGGGCCTAATTCAGAATGCTATGTTCTTGACTCAAGGGGTGCTCTAGTGGAACGGCGAGCTGTGGTTTGTAGAGAGAGGGTCATTCTTGGTCATTGCCTTGTTCTTTCTGTTTTGGTCGTAAGAACAGGTTGGATATGCTTGATTGTTCAGTTCTACTTTCATGGTCTTTTTTACTTTTATGTGTTATTTTGATTACTTTGGTACTCTATTTTTTTGATATTAGAAATTAACAAGGCTTCCATGGTATTCAGGTTTGGAATTTCAAGTGTTCTTGTGTGAAAATTGCCTTTCTAAGAGCCTTTTAAAGTGATGTTGCTGTGTTTCCTTGCCTTTTCTTTAGTGGTGATCGTGGGTTGCTTTCTCTGATAAAATGCTTTTAATGTTGCCACATCCACATAAAGCGCTTTTTGAACTTAATTTTAAATGGGTGTTATTTACTTGATGCCATTGCTAGCTCCCTAAGCTGCTCTCTTATTGGGTTAGTAAGCTCTGTTCTTGGGTTTTTCTTATGCCAATTGCAAGTACCTGGCCTAAACCCTTGTTATTGGCGTGCTGCGATAGCTGCTGTCTGATTATTTCCTCCATTTGTGGTTTGTCCCATCGAAATTCATATGCTGTTTACTGCTTGAAAGCCTTTAAGTTCTTAGGTCTGCTTATGTTGGCCTTCTTTTATTTACTTGATGTTTCAAGTTTGCAATGCCTTATTGCTCAACCAAGAAGTCTATGCCCATTAAGTTATTCAAAGAAATAGAACCATTCTCCAATTATTGTACGGATAAGGATTTTAAAGACGGGATTGAGTTCACCCCCTCTTCAACTCCAAAAGGAAAAGAGTCATCAACTGATTTTTTCCTGGCCCGGGCAAGAGTAGACCAACTAATGATCTTTTTAGATCTTTAAATTCTCTACTTTTGATTGTTGAGTAGATGATGACTTTTTTTTAAGTGCTCTGGTTGTTTCTATCTCAATCTTTCATGTGTTATTTCCTTTGTATTGGAACCCTTGGAGAATGAATAGAAGAAGTAAGTTTTGCCATGGGGAAGGAGAACTTACAATAAAGGAAGCAACTTTTACCTTTGGCTCCCTTTTATTTTCTTCTTTACTGGTGTATAGTAAGAAGGCTTTAGCTGTTTGTGCCTAATTGAATTGGCTATTGGAAAGACTTTCTTTTGAGCTTCAGGCTGCATCACTAATTAAGTGACACATCATGACATCACATTGTTGCTAATGCTTTATAGCACATATCTGATTAGCTGCTATTTTTTTATTCATTCTTGCAGGTTCTAAAGATGCAAAAGACATCTTTGCTGCCTTAAAAGATAATACAGAGGACTTTAGTCAGAGCACCGATGTTTTGAAGCATCAGGTCTTGCCTTGTTATCACAAAAGCTGTACAGTTTGGTGTTCGAATACTTGTGATGTAACAACTTGTCAATTGTTAACTGCACTTTATGCTGGTCCTTTGCTTGGTTATGTACTTGCATGCCTTATCGCAGCTTATGTGAGGTCAAGTGAAGTTAATTTTGGATAGTTTATCCCACACTGAACTTTGCACACATTGGAGAAATTGCAGCCTTATCTGTAAATTGAGTTCTTTACTTTCTTGTAGGAATCTGGAACTTCTTACTTTACTAGATTTTTAGTTTTGCTTTTGAGTAATTGTGTGTAGTGGTTGAAACC